GTTCCTGCCCACTAATCTCTGGGATTCCATGAGTGAGTGAGGCGGGTCTACCGCGTTTACATGTAGAGTGACACTGGTGTCATTCCATTAGTGGTCGGTAGTGTTTTCACAGGATATTGAGGCATACCTATCTGCTAGTACAGATTAGTATGGCTTCTATTCTGGTGATCTGCCCACTAGTCATTGGCATTGCCATTGGACTAGGTGGGGCGGGTCTTTAACCGATGACGCGGTATATTGTGACGCCCGTAGGGGTTTTTTAGTGCAGTACTGCGGGACTCGGTTGCAGCCATTGCTAGGCCTGACTTTCTCGTTTCGATGGAAGTGTTAGTCTCGGCAGGAGTACATTTGGAGCGCTACGCTCCGCCTTAAACCACTAGGAGCAGAGCTCCCCTATGGGGCGGAGCTCCACGATATAGAACGATAGTTACCGGAGTGTAACTCCAGTTCTATGAGTGGAGCGGCGCCCCATAGGACTTAAGGCCCTGCCGACCCTCTCTAGTCTCGCTGAAGAAAAATGGTCTCGGGAGGCTGAGTGAGGGGAGGCATCCCCTCTTATAGGGACACCTGTACTCCTATGGCTGTAGGTGTGTGCATAATTTTGTCTCAGGCTGCTGCTGCCTTAGGGCAGAGGGTAAACCACTAGGAGCAGAGATCCCTATGGGGCTCCGCTCCACTCATAGAACTGGAGTTACACTCCGGTAACTAATCGTCTTTACTGGTCCTACACTCACACATTTCTAACACATTATACACAGTTTCAGGGTGTAATAATTAGTCATTAATAATGAATCTATCAGTTAGAGATAAAAAAATTAATGTATGCCATATGCAGTTCTCTCTTGAGTCCTCAATCTTCAACCTTGAAGGGCCTGATTGAGGACCTGGATATTTTTCCAGTTTCTCTTGACTAAAACTCAACTGTAATAAGTGTACTATTTTACAGATTGGGTAGCTAAAAGATACAAACTTTAAATTGCCATGTGGTTCTCCTAGTTAAATAGGCGGATGGTGAAGTTGTTGTGCTTGGTGTACATCCCGGAAAAGTCTAACGATCTTGGCAACTATTAACTTTGATAGGAACTTAGTCAAATAGATACGGTAGGATCTTGAACCTTGGAGAGGGAAACAACCTGTCCATCTACGGGAAAATTACCCTGATTAATTCCCTAGTAGTTTACATATCTCTTCGTGGCTTTACCAACTCCAGGATCATATTTTTTCCAAGTCATGTGAGAATTTGTTTTTTTCATTAATCTGGATTGGCAACCAGACAAAGTTAAATGGGCATATTTATATAACAATGCGTTTGGAGCGTTAAAACTATCAAACATTAAGCATTAACCTCTCACTTAAGCCTCCATTGTAACAAAATTATTTGTACAGTTGAATTCGGAAGTTGTACATACACCTTAGCCAAATACATTTAAACTCAGTTTTTCACAATTCCTGACATTTAATCCTAGTACAAATTCCCTGTTTAGGTCAGTAGGATCACCACTTTATTTTAAGAATGTGAAATGTCAGAATAATAGTAGAGAGAATTATTTATTTTAGGCTTTATTTCTTTCATCACATTCCCAGTGGGTCAGAAGTTTACATACATTCAATTAGTATTTGGTAGCATTGCCTTTAAATTGTATAACTTGGGTCAAACGTTTCGGGTAGCCTTCCACAAGCTTCCCACAATAAGTTGGGTGAATTTTGGCCCATTCCTCCTGACAGAGCTGGTTTAAACTGAGTCAGATTTGTATGCCTCCTTGCTCGCACACACTTTTTCAGTTCTGCCCACAAATGTTCTATAGGATTGAGGTCAGGGCTTTGTGATGGCCACTCCAATACCTTGACACTGTTGTCCTTAAGCCATTTTGCCACAACTTTGGAAGTATGCTTGGGGTCATTGTCCATTTGGAAGACCCATTTGCGACCAAGCTTTAACTTCCTGAATCGTCTTGAGATGTTGCTTCAATATATCCACATAATTTTCCTTCCTCATGATGCCATCTATTTTGTGAAGTGTACCAGTCCCTCCTGCAGCAAAGCACCCCCACAGCATGATGCTGGCCACCCCTGTGCTTCACGGATGGGATGGTGTTTCTTCGGCTTGCTAGCAACCCCTTTTTCCTCCAAAGATAACGATGGTCATTATGGCCAAACAGTTCTCTTTTTGTTTAATCAGACCAGAGGACATTTCTCCAAAAAGTACGATGTTTGTCCCCATGTGCAGTTGCAAACCGTAGTCTGGCTTTTTTATGGCGGTTTTGGAGCAGTGGCTTCTTCCTTGCTGAGCGGCCTTTCAGGTTATGTTGATATAGGACTCGTTTTACTCTGGATATAGATACTTTTGTACCTGTTTCCTCCAGCATCTTCACAAGATCCTTTGCTGTTGTTCTGGGATTGATTTGCACTTTTCGCACCAAAGTATGTTCATCTCTAGGAGACAGAACACTTCTCCTTCCTGAGCGGTATGACGGCTGCGTGATCCCATGGTGTTTATTCTTGCGTACTATTGTTTGTACAGATAAACGTGGTACCTTCAGGCGTTTGGAAATGTCTCCAAAGGATGAACCAGACTTGTGGAGGTCTAAAATTATTTTTCTGATGTCTTGGCTGATTTCTTTAGATTTTCCCATGATGTCAAGCAAAGAGGCACTGAGTTTGAAGTTAGGCCTTGAAATACGTCCACAGGTACACCTCCAATTGACTCAAATTATATCAATTAGCCTATCAGAAGCTTCTAAAGCCATGACATCATTTTCTGGAATTTTCCAAGCTGTTTAAAGGCACAGTTAACTTTGTGTATGTAAACTTCTGACCCACTGGAATTATGATACAGTTAATTATAAGTGAAATAATCTGTCTGTAAACAATTGTTGGAAAAATTACTTGTGTCATGCACAAAGTAGATGTCCTAACCGACTCTCCAAAACTATAGTTTGTTAACAAGAAATTTGTGGAGTGGTTGAAAAACGAGTTTTAATAACTCCAACCTAAGTGTATGTAAACTTCCGACTTCAACTGTACAGTAATTCCAAACTGGCTTTCCATTAGCTTACTAAAAGAGGCACATCCAATGTTTAAAAGGGTGCTTTTTGCCGTTATGCGGATTAAAACTAACAATTTCTGGTGGATTGATAATGGAACCCTGTTTAAAGGATCCTCCTTTCTCCTTCCAATTTCATCCTCCAGAAGAGGCTGAACAAATATTACAGAAACTAATATGGCTAAACTCCAGTGTACTGATAGAGGAAAGACCAATTTTCTTGGAAAGATGTATAAGGAAGGTATCATGTTTATGAATGACATTGTAAATAAGGCCGGTAAAATGTTGGCACACAAGCAATTAACAAATGTGTATGGAGATGTATGCTCAATAAAAAAGTATAACAGACTCATCGCAGCGCTGCCACAAAAATGGAAGAGGCATTTACTCAAAAGAGAAAGGAATTCATTAGTTTGTCTGCTGCCAATAAAAAACTATGCATTGCATAGCCCTTTACACTCGTACCCTTCTATGGGTGTAAAATGGTAGATTTGGGCATTGATTATGCCTAAATTGGAATGCAGTGGCTGTACAGTAACATTCAGCTTCACAGCGCTGTATGGGTTTTGACAGAAAACCGTTCTGAACTTGAGCACCTTGCGCAACGAGAAGTTGCCCCCATCCCTCATGCTAATTGAGCAACTTTTGCAAATGTTGGTTTTCTGAAGGAGGGAAATGCTGTAAATTAAGAGGAGTATGTATTTTGAAAGATGAGATGTTGCGGATTATAATAAATACTGCTTTGATATCATACAAGCAAGCCAAACACCCGTGAGTCCTGGAGACCTCTCACTCAAACCCTTGAAACTTTTTTGTCTTATTTTGTACTAAATCTATTGAGTACATAAATCAACCTATTTGTCAAAACTGTTACTTTTATCAAAAAGTGAATGATTTAATCACCACACTAATAATTATGATGGATTTGCTGCCATTATTTTAATGTTGTCTACTTTTTTAAACCTACCTATGTGCCAAATTTGGTGCTTTTATCACAAACTGAACAATGCATTTGCTTAGCCACCCCACTATTAGGAAATATTATTTTCACAAACAAAACAAAGCTGCAAGAACCCTTAAGTGTAATGAATACTCGGACAGAGTGGTAAGATCCAATCGCAGAATAGCGATGCTTTATTAGAGTACAGACAAGGGAATAGCTAAATCGTGGTCGGGCGGGCTGTGGTCAAAACCGGGCCAGGCAGAGACAGGCAGAGGTTCCAAGGGAGCGGGCGGAGTCGTAGTCGAGGGCACAGGCACAGGGTCAGAGTACGGTAATCACTGGGATAAACAAGCAGAGGATTAAGCTATTCGGGGAGTCAAACAACAAGGCACAGGTCGGATACACGGGTAATCAAAAACAACAAACTCTCTCTCTCTCTCGGAACAAAACGCTTAGCAAGTCACAATGGAACAATACCTCGCGCCGACTGAGCTTCTGAGCACACCTTAAATCCTACACTAATTACTGACAGGTGTGCTCAGAACTCTGTGGTCCTCTGTAGCTCAGCTGGTAGAGCACGGCGCTTGTAACGCCAAGGTAGTGGGTTCGATCCCCGGGACCACCCATACACAAAAATGTATGCACGCATGACTCTAAGTCGCTTTGGATAAAAGCGTCTGCTAAATGGCATATTATATTATATTATATTATAACTCAGGTGAACCAGATCGAGTCTGATGACTCCCCCTCTCTGTAGATCGGGGAAGTGTCAGACTCTGTCTAGACCCAGCCAACTCCCGATCCCTTACATTAAGAGAATGAAAACATATTTCCAGTAGTATTGTTAGTTAGTCAATACTGGGGCCCTGCACAAAAAATTTCACAGGAACTCATAAAAAGTAAAACTGTCCAAAAGTAAGTTATGTATATGGCTCTAATTCTGACATTTTCCTGTCCATCATATTCAAGATTAGGAGAGCTGCCTTTCCTGTCTGTTCAAACTTTGATAATCTTTTACCTTCTGATTTACCAACAGATTGAGAATGGGAAGACTGCGGCTACAGATATTGGTTATGGTGGTAACGATCACCATTTTGTTTTTATCAGTAAGTTGAAGCGCTTTTTATATTCTTGACCTTATAAAAGATTATAAGACATATAAATACAAGTACTGTAAGATTCTTGAAATCATTAAAAAGCTTAGGCTCCATTAAGGTCTAATCTAATTTAAAATGCCATTTTAATTTGCCTTTGTTCAGTCAGATTACTTTTTATTGCTCAGGTTTTGGTCAAAATAATGATTCATGGAATTATTTGTTATTGATCATTCAAAGAGTTACTTGTTAACTTGACAGCCTGGTCCCCAGCTTTACACTGCTACATTCAATGTTTCTCCAAGATGAAATTATACACCGGGAGGCAATTTAGCAGTGGCGGTATTTTGTCCACAAGAGGATCGTTGAGCATGCAGTTCAACATTTGCATCTTTTGGACAAACATCAAATATAGCAGAGTTCATGAGATCATATTTTAAATGTAATAAGGGCTACCATGTCTTTCTATTTCAGGTGTGTCGAGACAACCATTGCCAATTGAATATTCTTTCACATTACCTTAAAGTCAACCACACTACCTTTACCACTGATACTCCATATGTTACCACTCATACCCCATATATTACCACTCAAACTCCACATGTTGATATTTGTAATGGAATCACCAACAGGACATTTACGCCAACCAATGACTCCTTAATAAGTAAAGAGGAATGGGAATCTCTGGTCACAAAGCTACAATGGTCATTACCGCCTGTTGACCTCTTATCCACAGATGAGGCCACAAACCCCACTAAGTGCTCATTCTCTGTTGTCAACCCCAATTCAAACCACAGAGTTGGAGGGTTTATAGATGTGATTTTGATAGCTAGAGATACTAAAAACAGGATCAAAACCTATGGAGGGGACTTTTTTCAGGCCAAGTTGTTCAACGCAGAACTTAAGGCCAGTACTTATGGAGCTGTAACAGACCACTTTAATGGCACCTACACTTCCCGCCTGGCCCTGCTTTGGCCCGGACCTGCCAAGGTGTCCATCCGCCTAGTGCACTCCAGTGAGGCCGTGCAGGTACTGTGTAGGCACAGGGAACAGGACCCAGATAAGGTCTACTTCCAAGGCTACTTTGAGGATGGTGGCATGCAGGAAACAGTGATGTGCAATGCCCAGAGAAGTCCTAGGCTGGTGGGGAACAGCTCGCAGTGTTGCTGTGAGTACAGAGAGCCAGTCACCGGAGAGTCCTGGTTCTGTCGTCGGCCATCTTTCCTGCCCTGCCATGCTTTGACCTACCATAGCATGGGTGGTTACCAGGCAGTACTCTCCAAGTTGGAGACAACTCTTCTTAAGAGGTAGATATCTTTAAATCGGTTGTCAAATGCAGCTTGGGGTCATTGTTTACCACCATCTGATTTAATGTGGCCCTCTTGTTATCCACAACACAATCCTATCCTATTATTTGAAAATATTTTATGTTGGGAAAGAGGAACTCAATAACATTGGTGAATGACAATCATGCTGTTCAGAAAATAAGTAAATTGCTGTAGACCACAATGTTAGCAGAATGTGTACAAACCATGACTGCACTGCATCCTGTTCCATTACTTAATGGGTAGTGTCTCAAATTATGATTGTTTGTTCTTCACACTCAAATAATATTCATTTTTTGCAGATTCACAAACATTATTGTACCATATGATAATTCAGTTGACATGTCCAGCAACAGGGCAATGAACCCTAAGTCCCTACACATTTCCCTTCCCTCACTGTTACTTTAATACCAAATACACAGATACAGGCAGTTACCTTGGGTTACGTAATACCACTACAGAATACAAAGCAGTTCCTTGGGTTACGTAATACCACTACACAGAACAGCAGTTCCTTGGTTATTGTAATACCATTACACAGAATACAGCAGTCCTTGGGTTATGTAATACCACTACAAAGAATACAGCAGTACCTTGCTACCTCATAAGTCACCATTCTTAACAAGGTCATATCCTTTGTTATACTGGTTAAACCTGCTTGATCACAACTTGAAACTGGTGTGATTACACAAACTCAGCGTCCTCTATTTGACTAACCTTACCCCCATACATGACTCGACCCCTGTATATTTATTTTACTTATTTATTTAGTATATTTCTTAACTTTTAAGCATTGTTGGTTAAGGGCTTGTAGTAAGCATTCATCACGTATTCGGCACGTGAAATACATTTATTCATGCTAGCGATGCAGATTCGGCTCAATGATCTAACAATGTTCTCTCTCTCTAGGTCCAAACAAAAAGCGCCTGGTTTGAACAAACGCCAGTACCGTTCTGGATTCTCCTCCAGAATCGCTGACGTCCATGTGTGTGACTCAAATCATTCCTCAGCTAAACTGATATCTGGATGCCTGAAGGACAAACAGATCCTTATGATGGGTGACTCCACTCTCCGTCAATGGTTGGAGTACCTGGAGAAAACTTTGCCAAGTAAGATATAGTCTGTAATCCTTTCAGTGTTAAGATACTCATATATGTGGTTATGTATTACTTTGGGTGGCCTCATTGGCCGTACACCCCAAGATTGGAAACATTCTTGCAGGTAGCTGCCACCATTTTGTGGGTGTTGGGAAACACCTGAAAATGTGTTGGGTTGAATTCCATTTTACATTGAAATTCCAATTCAATTTTTTCATTCACTCATGAAGCAGTGAATTTACTTGGAAATCAATTCGAATTGTAACAATCTATTGATTCAATTGATCATATCAATGGAATTTTATTGGAATTAGACTGTTTCAATTGGAATTGTAACAAAAATGTAAATCTTTGGAATTTAATTGAAAATACATTTTTGTGGGGGATATTTCCCTTTTAATGGTAATTATGGTTGAAGTATCAAAATTGACTGCCGGATTTGAACCCAACATGATCCTTCTGCAGCACTGAAACGCCTGAACCTTCACACATCAAGCAAATCGGGCCCCCTTTGAGGCAGTCGACACCCAGTCCAACACCCGTATCATCTGGCGGGCCCATGGGATACCTATACGGACGAGCAAGACCCCCTGGGCTGACCTCCACTACATCGCCAGGGAGGTGGAGGGTCTGGCAGGGGGTGCACACTCTGTAGTCGTCTTCACCATCTGGGCTCATTTCACCACGTACCCACTGGCTATGTATGCACACCGTCTGGTCGTCATCCGTAGGGCTGTGGCGTCGCTGCTAAGAAGATCTCCCACTACTCTGGTAGTGATCAAATCAGCCAACACGGGCTACAAGGATGTGTACGGCAGCGACTGGCTCTCCTGGCAGCTCGACATGGCTCTAAAGGAAATATTCAGGGACTTGCCCGTGGTCCGTATTGACGTTTGGCAGATGACCTCCTGCCACTATTCTCCGGATAACATTCACCCGCCCCCCGTGGTGATCCAAAATGAAGTGGACCTCTTCCTGTCCTTTGTTTGTCCACAGTGAGAAAAGAGAAGCATTCAAAAGGGATTGTCTGTAAAATCAACTGCATAGAACATGGTGGTTGTCAAACTATTGCCTGCTTTCAGCTCTGCAATGATTCTTCTGTCATGCATATAGTTAAGCAATGATTCATTTATAGAACTTGTGGGCTGTTTTAGAGCAAATTGTCATTTTTTTTTTTTATGCATTAATTAACAACAGTCTATGATGTTTGCAGTCAATGTAGAAGTGTGCCATCTGGTGGCCCTTTTTGAGCCATCACCTACTGGTTTAATCTTGCCCAGGGCAATGCAGGGTGCAATCGCTTTTGCTAGTGCGCATTCTCTCTCACACTTTATTCAACTCATCAAGGAGCCTCTCGTTTGGGTTAGGGTGTGAGTCGGCGGGGGTGGGAGGGGGCGGGGGGTGGGAGTGTGCGCCCCTTTGGGTCCCCGGGACCAGGACTGAGAAGCACTGCATTTGAGCAATGTAAAAATGTCCATGATCTTGAATGTACATGCCCCTCTGACCCATCTAAATGAATGTAACTGTACGAAGTAATCTGATTGTAAATCATGAAATGTATAATATCTTGGAAATACTCAATATGAAAACTGGAGAAAAAAAACCTGTGTGTGTGTATATATAAATTATATATATATATTTATATATATATATATACAGTACCAGTCAAAAGTTTGGACACCCCTACTCGTTCAAGGTTTTTTCTTTATGTGTACTATTTTCTACATTGTAGAATAGTGAAGACATCAACACTATGAAATAACACATATGGAATCATGTAGTAACCAAAAAAGTGTTAAACCAATCGAAATATATTTTATATTTGAGATTCTTCAAAGTAGCCACCCTTTGCCTTGATGACAGCTTTGCACTCTCTTGGCATTCTCTCAACCAGCTTCATGAGGTAGTCACCTTGAATGATGTGCCTTGTTAAAAGTTAATTTGTGGAATTTATTTCCTTCTTAATGCGTTTGAGCCAATCAGTTGTGTTGTGACAAGGTAGGGGAGGTATACAGAAGATATCCCTATTTGGTAAAGACCAAGTCTATATTATGGCAAGAACAGCTCGAATAAGCAAAGGGATACGACAGTCCATCATTACTTTAAGACTTTAAGACAGTCAGTCAATACGGAAAATGTCAAGAACTTTGAAAGTTTCTTCAAGTGTAGTCGCAAAAACCATCAAGCACTATGATGAAACTGGTTCTCATGAGGACCGCCACAGGAAAGGAAGACCCAGAGTTACCTCTGCTGCAGAGGATAAGTTCATTAGAGTTAAATGCACCTCAGATTGCAGCCCAAATAAATTATTCACAGAGTTCAAGTAACAGACACATCTCAACATCAACTGTTCAGAGGAGACTGGGTGAATCTGGCCTTCATGGTCGAATTGCTGCAAAGAAACCACTACTAAAGGACACCAATAAGAAGAAGAGACTTGCTTGGGCCAAGAAAGATGAGCAATTGACAAATTGAGATTTTTGGTTCCAACTGCCGTGTCTTTGTGAGACGCAGAGTAGGTGAACGGATGATCTCCGCATGTTTGGTTCCCACCGTGAAGCAGGAAGGAGGAGGTGTGATGGTGCTTTGCTGGTAACACTGTCTGTGATTTATTTAGAATTCAAGGCACACTAACCAGCATTGCTACCACAACATTCTGCAGCGATACGCCATCCCATCTGGTTTGGGCTTAGTGGGACTATTATTTGTTTTTCAACAGGACAATGACCGAAAAAACACCTCCAGGCTGTGTAAGGGCTATTTGACCAAGGAGAGTGATGGAGTGCTGCATCAGATGACCTGGCATCCACAATCACCCGACATCAACCCAATTGAGATGGTTTGGGATGAGTTGAACTGCAAAGTGATGGAAAAGCAGCCAACAAGTGCTCAGCATATGTGGGAACTCCTTCAAGGCTGTTGGAAAAGCATTACTTATGAAACTGGTTGAGGGAATGCCAAGAGTGTGCAAAGCTGTCATCAAGGCAAAGGGTGGCTCCTTTGAAGAATCTCAAATATAAAATATATTTTGATTTGTTTAACACTTTTTTGGTAACTACATGATTCCATGTTTGTTATTTCATAGTTTTGATGTCTTCACTATTATTCTACAATGTAGAAAATAGTAAAAAATTAAGAAAAACCCTTGAATGAGTAGGTGTGTCCAAACGTTTGACTGGTACAGTATATAAGCATTCTAGACACTGTGCACTTTCTGTGTGAAACTTTGGAATACCATTATCACATGCCTTAATGGCCCAGTCTCAAAACAATCGCAGAAGCCTGGTCATCACTAGTTAACACATCCACAAAGTAATTTGTAATTTGGCAATAGTTGTTAATGATTTTGTCAATGCTTTAGACCAGAGGTGGGACTAAGTCACTGTTATTCGAGTCACAAGAAAGTCTCACGTCACAAGGTCCGAGTCTCAAGTCAAGTCCCAAGTAGACAAGTCAGTCGAGTCACAAGTTTTCAATTCAAGTAAAAAAAAAAATCTATACATGCAACGACTTGTTCAACTACAAATCTTTGTCTATTTATTGAGGCTACCAGACAGCCCTTTTCATTTTTTGGTCTATAACACATTTTGACTAGCCTATGTAATTGTAAAATAGGGACCTTGTAGCCGTAAGGGCATGAAATCAGCAGAAGGCAAGGCAGGTTGACATGCTCAGAGTGTAGATTTATTTACAGGTCTTGGTGATCCAATTGTGAAAGCGCCATAGCATACAAAATATCCAAGTAGATTTACCAAATATATACGGGTAATAGCCCAAAAGAAATAGCCTCTGTATCAGGCTTAACCTGTCCTATCTGAACGGACACAGGTAGAGGGCAAGACTGTACAGCCTCCCAAATCGAATCTGTGTAACATGAGCTTAAACAGATAGGCCTACATACAGTAATATAAGCAATTGGCTCCCAGGACCATACAATTACCCAATTGGCAATTACAACCAATACACTGGCTCTACAATGTTCTACATCCATTGTTCTGGTTCTACATCTATTGTTACATTGGTACATTCGTCTTAATTAGACTTAATGATATTTCATCACCATGCATACATGGAACAATCATTTTCTGTTATTCAACGTTCTGACTCCAAAGCGTGGAGGGCAGGCGACGTAGCCTATTTCTATGCGCACTGTGGCGCGCGTGCTCCTATTATGCGCAACCAAAATGACAGAGACATAGGACACAGACACACGGAACTCCGACATTACACGGGAAATATGAACGAAGGAAAATATACATTTAATTAAATAAACAGAACTTCTACCTCATGAGTTTGTGAACGTTCATGTGCACTATAAACATCGCGCCCACTCAGAGTAGGGTAAGAAATGGTTGACTAAAAGAAAATGTATCGTAGGCCTATCAAACATGAAACAGAAATGTCTACATGTTGCAATAAACGGTAGGTAGGGGGATGGAATGATGAAACGCTAGCAATTATTGTAGTATTAGATGCAGAGGTGGGTAGTAACGAGTTACATTTACAACGTTACATTTACTTGAGTACATTTTTTAAAAAATTATACTTTTAGGAGTAGTTTTAAATCACTATACTTTTTACTTTTACTTGAGTAGATTTGTGAAGAAGAAACTGTACTCTTACTCCGCTACAATGAGGTCGTTACTTTTCTTTTTACCTCTTTGGTATTCTACGCGTCATTGTCTTTATCCCCCCGCATACGCCTTATTTGAATGTTTTATTTTGACAGAGAGAGAGACTTCCGCTAAGGCTCTACCACGTGACTGTGTTTCACCAATCAAACGTAGTTGTGCAGTCTCGTCACATTACCATATTCAATCTCAGCGGCGGGACGGGTTAGCTTTACAGTCGTAGCAACACAAAAATGTCAGAATTAGCCGTCGGCAATGCAGACACAGACGAGGAGGAACACCCGCACCCCTGGCCTCATATTGAAAGCATGTTTACCTTAGTAAAAGTGCGAAAGAGCCAGTGGCGGCTGGTGAAAAATATTCTCGGTGGGGCTGTGCCATACTTTTTTTTTCCTGTAACCATCGCGATATATTTTAACACAAACTGCAGGACAGCAGTGCTCAGTGAAACATTCAGTAATTATTTAATGCCAATATTAAAAAGTTGAGGCATTCTTACACAAAAACATATTACACAAACCCAAGCCTTTCATTTGCATTTAAAGTGAACTTTTCACCATTGGTAGTAAACAGGCACCGCAACATGCATGCTGTCAGAACAGAGTGGAAAGTGGACAATAACATGAAATTATTATAAAGTTTATAGGAAATCTTACACTGTATAAAAGGATGTATAATATAGAAATGGATATCAAGTGGATGAACTCAAACCTTTGACTGGAAGAATAGCATACAGTATTTTATGATCATACTAAATGTGACTAATTGTTAATGTGCTCCAGAACTGCAACAATTAATTGATACAAAACAACATATATACAGTAATATTAGCAAAGACACTATTAAGACTTTCTAGAGTACCATATATAACTGGATTTTTTATGCTAAGGTCAACTATATACAAAGAAACATGCGGCCAGAGCTGCTCTGTGTGTGTGTGTCTGTCATCTTATTTGTACAGGAATTTTGCCCGTCTGTCCTTCTGAGTGGCAAACCTCTCAATGACCCTTTGATTAAAGTCAGGAATGTCCCTGACAAGTTTCTTCTCCATGGAGAGCATGGCCAGAGCGTTCAGGCGATCCTGTGTCATGCGGTTTCTCAGGAAGGTCTTGATCCTTTTCAGTGTAGAGAAGCACCTTTCTGACTCAGCAGTTGTCATGGGTGTGGTGATGAGGATCTTTAGGAGGCTGGCAGTCTCTGTGAAAGTGCTCTGAAGGTTGTTCTCCATGAAGAACTGGTACAGGGGCACTGCACCACTACAAGCCTTGAACTCACTGTTCTCATAGATGAGGGACAGTTCGGTTTTGAGCTTGGCCTTGTTCAACATGTGGTACGCCTCCACGGTTGTTTCAAGCGCTGTATCGGGGA